GAAATAACCGACACAACGTTCCGTATATTCGCGCGGAACGTTAAACGTTTACCTCGAGCGTTTAAACGCGCATTGACCACATGGTTCGCCTTAACGTTTGTCAACGCTACCCTTTGCGCTGGTTCTCCTTCGCTCTTTTAAACATCGCCGCTTCGTTAAAGCTTTTCGTATCCTTTTTCCTTATCTTCCTTCTACCCTCTCTCTCTCTCTCTCTCTCTCTCTCTCTCTCTCTCTTACTCTCATACAATCTTCTCCTTCTATTCACGAGCCAGAGAAGCAGAAGCGGTAACGAGCATTCCACTATCCGTAATCGCGAAAGCTCAAGCGGTTAAGAAGTATTTCGGTACGTGCGACACGCCGCAAGAACGTACGCGATGTCTTCGGATAATCGAAGTCGCTTCCGACCTCGGCGTTCCACGCTCGATAAAGTAAGTCCATGTAGGGGAGGTTGTCACGAGGAGTGACACGCCGGGACTCCGGTGACTGCTTACTGTCTCTCTTTCAACATTTCATACTCTCGATGATCGATTCAATATTATTATTCAAAATTCTTTTTAATGAGAGAACGTCCTCGATAATATCCAATCAAAATCATTGAAATAAACACATGTTAAGCGTGAACTTAATCTTAGCGGCACTAAGATAAGTCCTACGACGACTTTGTTAAAACTAATCATTGCTTAAGATATTCAAAGAAAATCATCCAATCTCTTTAATATAGAATTCTTGTATTCGATCACAACGAGTAACAACGTTATTCTTTACGTTCCATCAAAGAAGTGTATTAAGTGTTTGACATCGCAAAAAGTATCGGACGAAGAAGGTATTGATCTCGCTTTCGATTGCATTATCACGGGTGTTCGTCTTTTCTGCGAGGTAGCCGCGTGCGCAGAACGCCTTTTTACGAAAGACAGAATACATTGATACGACTCCAATCATGATCGAAATACCATAAATAACCTTGCATTGAACCGGCCGGAGTCCAAACATCGGTCGGTGCGGAGAGTCTGGCTCGATGGTAGTCAGCTGCACGATCAGAATGGCCGTTGCGATGCGTGTCGGCGAGATACGCCGAGAAACGACGTTTCCCTGACAGTAATCTATGCAAGAACACAATTGCTGTTACGCGAAACACCTGTGTCTTTGGGAATCGCTTCGAAAATACCGATATTGGATCGTAGACGAGATTCGTGGACTCTCATGCTTATCGGCATAATTAACTTCCTCCGTAATTCGATTAATGATTTCCTAGACGGAGACCAATTCTTGCTATCACAAAAATGTTCAAGAGACCAGGTCGCCTATTTCCTTCTTGCAATGACATTTTCCATTAAATTAATATTATGATATCAAGAAAAAAGTAAATTTTTCTGTGCAACTGAATTCCTTTTCCTGTTGAGCTTCAGCAAAATATACCCAAGGTCAGAATCGGCCTCTTTAACCTCGTCAATAGTCCTCCTGATTCAACGAGGAGAGACACTAAATCTTTCCTTGGTATAGGAAGGAATCAGTATACCCGACGATCGAGCAGGAGTGAGAAATACTTTAGATTGCTCGTTCGATCTGTTCGATGGCAGGCGTTCTCGGCATCCGGCAAACGGGTAAAAGCAAGAATTATCGCTCACTCGGTTGATCCCTCCTAAGAGAAAAGCGGCGCGTGAGCGCTTTTCTACGACTGTACTCTTTGCTTCTTCAAGAGTGGAAGGGGGAGTCAAGAGATGGACAGTACCGATGGACTTTGATTGGTTGCGAAATCAATATGGCGGCGACCATCAATCGGGGTAATTGACAAGGTAATTGGCGCGGTTTCATACCTCGGCGTAGTCGGCAGGACCCAGCCGCGACTACTTCCAACGCAATAAGCAGAAAAACCTGGCGCAAGGAAAATAACGCATATAGGGAAAGTTGTTTCGCGCGACTCTACGCGGACGCATGAGTATTTTTACGATATCCCTTCCCCTTTCTTTTTCCATTTCTTTTCATCCTACGCGATAGCTTTGCGGAATCCCATGACGAGCGCGCGCGCGCTGCCTTATTCTCTGGACAGTTTCGAAGAGGTCTTCGTATCCTCGATGAAAGCTGAAAGAAATATACTTGACTGATCTCTGAAAGTTTTTTTGATCATTAGTACTTAAAAACTCTGATATTATTGCTACGGACTTTTTTTCTTTTTTTTTTTTTTCTTTTTTTTTCTTTCTTTCATCTAACTATGCCTTACTTTACTTTAATTCCATGTAAATTGGGAAGTTATGCGCATTAAATTTTTTTCTCTTTTGTGTCGCTACATCGTCCATACTATATTTGTCTTGGAAGGTGTGGACTTTTCTAGAGCCGACAACGACGTATTCCCGTCTCCACCCTCGAGTCCACCCTCCCGGAAAACACGCTTTAATATCCGCTTATGACGGCTATGTTTCACGGGCTGGGATACCCACTCGTCCCCATTCCGCCCCATCAACCCCTATAGTGCGTTTAATTTACGTGTTTTCGCGAGTTATTCGTCCCCACCCAGCCGTCGGAGAGCCTGGTCGAAGAGGGTCGGTCGCCATGGTGACGGCAACCCCTCCCGACGCCCAATCGCCGTCCGCCTACGACGAGACCCGTACGATGTTCACCATCAGCCCTACGATGCCGCACGAAGACGATAATAATTGATGGTGGAACGTGAAAGACAGCCCTGCAAATGCGAACCAAGAAGGACGATTCTCCCATCCTTTTTTCCTTTCCTTTCTTCTTCGACCCAGAATAAATCCAATCGTCACCCTCCGATGTTTCTTTTTATTAAGATCATTTCTCTAGATGTCTAGGAGCAATTTCAAAATATATGTAACCTTATAAACAATCTACATAATTTTTGATAAATCCTAAATCACAATGTATATGAAAAACTATCAGCAAGATTACGATCATTTTTTACGATCTTATAATCATCGAACATCATCAATATATTAAATACATAACTATGAAAAATAAATTATTATCTCAAGCTTATTGTCCCTTGAGAAATTCTTAAAAGGCAAACACTCAGAGAATAAGTGGAATGGGTTCGTGCTTAACACCTAAACTCGTTCTGTTGGTTCACCACCGCGTAAACGAAAAGACATAATAATCTCTCTCTCCTGTACAAATCCTCTCCGCGTTGCATACCGCGCACGGAGACGAAGTAGTGCAAACAGAAGCTGAAGTTCAGCTCGCCCGGCACGCTACTCGCGCTACGAATGCAGTCGAGGGAAGTGGAGCATCTTGAGAAGAGGGTCGCTTGGATGCTGAGAGGGATGCGAAGGATAGGAGGGAGGGAGGGAGGAAAGGGAACGGATGGAGAGTGGAGAGGAGAAGGAGGGAGAAGAGCTAGCGAGTGCTTCGGACGCGCGTATATACAGAAGCGAATCCGATCGCGACGAGACGCGTATCAAGCGTTGACGACGAGGAGAACGACGAGACGACGGATTCTGGTACTTCGAGGGAGAAAGAGAAGCCGGATCCGTGGACCGTGAGGTACCCGGGCTATGCAACGCTCAGATTCCGTCGACTCGTGGTGTCACTCGCTGAATTCCGCTCGGCCTACGACGATTTCCTGCTTGGAGTCTGCTCGTGCCTTCACTGTCCTTCCTCTTCAGAATCCCTTTCCCTTCTCTTTCTTTTGCTCAAATATATCTAGTTGAGACGCCTTAGTCTGTAAGCTTTGATTCTCAAAAGAGCCATAATGAGAATATATTGTTCTATATATTAGAAAATTTCATTCAAATAATCAATCAAATCAGATATGCGATTAAAAGAAATTAATCCACGTATCGTTGGATATTCAAAGTTCTAATGTATTTTTATGAAGCAATTAACATTCAGAAACGGTATGATGTAAATTCGTCCTAAGATAATAACGTCCTATTCCTGCACATGCTTAACTCCCGTCGATAAACTCGTCTGGATTCGATTAAAAGGGCTGAATTGAAAATTCTCAAGGGTCCCGTCCGCGGGTCCAATAAAACAGAAGTCTCGACCATCGATTCACTGGGAAGGAGCTTCCGAGATTTTATCGCGCTTAATCGGCAACTGATCGCATGCAAATCCACAGCAATAACACGCGCGAAAGACGCAACGGTTGGCACAACGAAGAAGAAGATCCCTCCTAACCCTCCTCTCTACCCTACTCTTTACTCTTTCTCTGTCTCTCTATGTTTCTTCTTCTCTTTTCTTATTCTCTTGGCTCTCGACCAGAACGAGACTTTAGATCGAGCGTGCGAGATAAAATCTTTCCTCTCTCTTTCTCGATTCATTCTCTTTTTATTTTCTCTCTTTCTTTCTCTCATTTGCTTCTTCAAAATGCACGATCTCAATACGCGACTTTACACTTGCACTCCTGCCCTATACTTTCAAACTTCCCTTCGACGATTCGCTTGAACATACGGAATTTGAAATTCGCGTCTTTTCCGTTTTGTGATCACGATCGATTAGTTTGCGAATTTGTAATACCAAAATCGATAACATGGATCCATCACCGAAAGCTATTTGGACTACTTACGTAAATATTTTATTAAGATTCCGTAGATGTATTATGTATGATTTAAAAATTATACATTATTATCATATTATTATTAAATAATTATTGAGGATAAAATTCGAATATCATAATATTTTTTTAACTTACTTTATCATATCTATATATTCATCATAATAGGTATTATCACTTGTCTATTGCAATCCTAACGCTGTCATTTATAATAAAATTATACATAACAATATTATCAATATTTAAAAAAGTTCATTAGTAGTTGCCGTTTTTTAACATTTACTTTAATTGTTGTAACAGTTGGTTGTTCAAAACATTCAGACAGATTAAACGATTTGATTTACGTTCATTTGATATCTGCGTTTCCAGTTTCTTGCGTAATAACAAAAGTTCACCGTATGCGATATACTTCAAAATATATTTTGAAGTCCGATTAGAGATTCGTATTGAATGAGAAGGGGGCGCTTTACGTCAATGCTCTTTAATTTGTACAGATGTGCTAACGTTCTCATAATCACTGGTATAAATTCGCCTCTTTGATAATTAAGACGTGACATTAAGTTTTACGAGCTCTCACAGCAAAGTGCAACGTTAAGGATTACGACTGGTATAGCCATCCTGATAAATCATGTTTCACGTAAGTGAACGGTGGTTATTAATGATCGTGATGAAACGGGTTGATGATATTGCGAATCGTTTTATCGGATAAAAATTAATTAAGTACATCGGACGACGAATGCAATGCTCGCTTGATAATACATTTTAAGTGGTTTAATACTTGCTGTATTTATCACACTTTTGTTGTGTTATATGTAAATTCATACATGTTAATTAATTACATTTTTTATTTCTTTAATTCTTGAAGAAACGAAAGATTGAATAATTAGCAATACCAAAAGACTCAACTTGTATTGAAATGAAAAAGCTCGATCTAATTTTTACTCGAACTTGTTGGATCTTCATGTACTTTAATTCTCATAATAATGAAAGTGTTTCAAACACAACAACAAGTTCGTGATAAAAAGACGTAAAAGAGAATGCGGCGTAGCTGATGTCATGGATCGCGATATGATAAACTTTGGAATCGTTGGCCTTCGTGCTGATACGTGCGAAGCATAATATGTACGACGTACTAATTAACGCGTGACTCTTATAATACTCGTGCAAACATCTTGTTTAATCTGTGTCTTCCATCCAATCAATCTATGTTTTCGAACAGCTCTGTAATCCTGGATGTTTTCTTTGTTAATTAACATTATCAAGCTAGCAAGCATTGCGTCGAAACTCATGTATTTTTCGTTAATTGAATACAATTAACGATGAATTTAATTATAGATTAATCATTAAAATTACAGATCTCTTGGAAAACTTTGATCATCCTATCCTATTACATGATAACATTGATCATGTTTTTCAACCGTAATAGAGATGACAGCTACATCCCGCTGAGATTCTAATCAATTCTTTTGGATTTGTAAGTGCTCGCCTTTGGACCACTCGATGTTCAACTACTAAATCAAGAAAGACATGGAATCGAAGAGCTAAGGAGACATATAGAATCTTGTTTAACCTGATGATCGACTCACCATGCATCTACCTTCTACTGTCTATAACGTCAAACTCGCGACGGGGTTGATGTTTTCGAGAAGAGAAATGAACGAAAAGAAATACAAAATTTAAAGCATATCCACAAGGCATGGTATAACTCCTTTCGATTGAGGTGATATCGTTTCAAAGACCATAAATCCACGTCGTAGTTGTCGTTGTCGTCGTCGTAGTCGCGAAACTAAAGAAAGAAAGAAACGAAGCGACAAAGTCTTTGAATAGACATACGGCGCACGTATCATTGTATGCATAGTAGACAGCTGGGCAATGAACGAAACAGGGAAACGTCCTTCATAGTGGTCACTTCGCGTTACACTTGCCCGGTTTAGACGACTTATGACGTGGATTTACGAGGCACCTGGAGAGTGTAACCGATCGCACGTATAACTCCCTTGACATTCCTTCGAGTTCCCTCGCTATCAGGCAAATCAAGCAACGCGTGCCTTCTCGTGAACAGTATCTGGCTGAAGAAGGAGTCAAACTATTAGTTGGAAATTAGCTGGTTTGCTTTAAGAATAGATTAATTATTCCGGTCATGGTTGACCTAATCGTATTCTATAACAATAAAACTAATCAAAATATTATAGTTTCTTTATTTATACAAAACTAAATTAATAGAGAAATGGCTTTATCTTAAATATTCATCAAGATAAGGGATTATATGAATATCACAGAATTAGTATAACTTAAATGGATTTAATATTGGCGATTATTGGTATTCTCATCTTTCCTATCCGAGTTATTTGCTAATGCGAATCCAACTGACTCGATTTTCTTTCCGAAGAGAACGTATCGGTCTCTTCTTCTCCATGACGTCCACCAGCAGGATGAGGATCGCGACGCGGAGGAATGCTCGAATCATGCTCCCTAATTCTTCGATCGAACCGAACGATCGAGAGTAAGAGAAGCCAATGGCGTGCACATGTACGAGAAAGACAAAGTCCTTGGCAAGCGACACAGAAGGCATCCCGCGGAGCAGGTAGCTTCGGAGAGACTTTCTGTCAGCATTCAACATTATCTAAGCCTTTATCTACCTCTTCGTCTATCTAACCACCCCACTTCCCCTTCTCAACTCTGCCTGCCATCTTCTCCTCTGTCTCTCTGCGGCTTCTAGAATGTCTGTATACGTCGCGTGTATATAGCCGACCGTTTATGTAATAGCAGGTAGGCCTGCCCTAAACGTAAGGATTCCACCTGTGGCAAAGGATCTCCCTCGTAAATTCACATCGTGGGAGAGTACCTTCACCTTGCGTGGGGTCCAACGACTCGATGAATTTTAATTACTCCATCGTAGAAATTTTGAAGAAAATTCAAGTCTAATGAATAACGGTAATAAGAAATATCGCGAGTAACTTGTTTTTAAAATTGTTTCTAAAACTCATTCTCGTGGGAGAGTGTATGTCTCTTCTGTGAGGTCCACTCGGAAGACAAAGGTCAGTTTCGTTGTAGTATGGACCGACAAAATCTTTTGTTTGTCTCTTTGTGACGTACAAAAGAGATTAAAAAATAAATAATAGGTAGGTTTGAATTGTCGCCATTCGATCTTTTAGTTAAAATTCCTTGAAATATTTGGTGTCGATATTCTTATCTATTTTACTACTCGATATCTTTGTCAACGAGACAGTGGAATGTAGTTTAGATGATCAATGTCATTGACGATACGGCCTTCTGCTTACGAAATAACTTTAGTTCATCGTCGTTGCGTGCCAGAAGAATTTTTAAATCAATCGATAAGTAGGTGCGATGGATTCAAAGTATCCAGTGAATACTAATTGTATGTGTTCTCTCTTTCTCTCTCTCTCTCTCTCTCTCTCTCTCTCTCTCTCTCTCTCTCTTTCTCCATCTCTTTCTCTTCGTCACAAATTGGATTAAGTTCTGTACATATTCAAGAATCTTATACAATCGATTCAATATCCAATTATCGTATCATTGAAATTAAGTGATAAAAGTTTTTTTACTTCTTAAGATACTCTTATTATAAGTTTTCGATGCTAATTATAATATTCCCACTTCATTTCATATCTACTGTCAACAATATTCTACCAATAAGAGTCAATTAATAATATCGATTGGAAGTCTCACGATATCGTGAAAAGCGAAAGATCGTTAGAGGATCGTTAGATTAGAGCGCGAATCTTCCTTGATGACGGCTCGATTCGATGGGGAAGCTCACCTCGTTGTGTTTTTGCTCTGCATAAATGATGAGCCCGAGTATTTTAATGAAGACATTCCATGGCTGCTTGCCGGCTTCTTGGCGTACGAGAAAGAGAGAAAGAGAGAGAGAGAGAGAGAGATAAAGTGAGAAAGAGAGAGAAGGAGAGACAGAAGCTCTGCGAAGCTTAGGTCGAATAGATATGTTCTTGATCATCAGCTTTTGCCTCCTACTATTAACGTATTGTTATCTTCAATCAATGGAATATACGAAGATGGACGTCACAAAAATATTTTCACTAACCTTCTCTTTCTCTCTCCCTCTCTCTCTCTCTCTCTCTTTTTCTTACAGCTTTTTTCCCAATTAACATAGTACAAATACGAATGCATACATTCAAGTACCAATTGCATACAAATACGAATCGACAGACAGGCAAGACTTTCCAGTGCTTAGCCATCTTCGTATACTCGATGAAGTCTTGACACCTTAAAGGCTCAATCGACGCTTTATCTCGATTCCCTTTTCAAGAGTGAGCATACTCGCTCGGTTAACCATCGTAAATTCAATTCGAGTTATTCGCATAAGAACGAAATCGTGAATACTATCGTGGTTTTCGAGGTGCCCACAAGAGAAACAACATTCGTGTGCTTAGCTCGTCGAATGGTTGAAAGGATAAAACTAGCTTGGCAAATAAAATGGCGTGAACACGCTAAAGAAAAAGGTAAGAGTAAGTGAACAAAAGAGATAGATCGAGGGAATGTTTTAACATCAACCGATTTACGGATGCACGAAGCGTGTTTCGTTCGGTGACAATGCTTAAATGACTGCAACGAGCGCACGTGTTTCAAAGCGACAAGCACCGCAACAGAACGTTCCTAACTCGTATCCAAGTCACGTCTCATTTGCCGTATTCAACGATGTATCGACGGGGAACTGCAATACGCAGAGGGAGAAAAGCGAGTGAGCGAGAGAGAAAGAGAGAGAGAGAGAGAGAGAGAGAGAGAGAAAAAAGAGAAATAAAGAGCTTGAGGAGATTAAAATACAGGATGGGCAAAAGAGCAGGTGCATCATGATTCGTGAAAATCAGAACCGCAATACTGATCTTACTTATTAATAATGTCGTTCCCGTTATGAATATTATTTATGATTTAATTCGTTATAAGAGGTTATACTTTCTATGCTTAATTGAAAGAAATGCGAAATGCGTTAACGTAACTTTAATGGATAATTAAATTAATTTACGTGTTTTATAATAACTAATTGAAAAATTAAAAATTATATTAAGTATCTATACTTATCGTATTACGTTTAATGCTTACCATATTACGTCTATCTTGTACGAAGTCTAACTTATCAATGAGGGCTTATATTTGTTTTTGTCTCGACCTTTGCGACTCGACTGTTTATGCCTTTCTCTCTACAGTTCTAAAGACGTTCATATCATTGTATTTATTTATATAACTAAGATAATAATACGTCTTATATATAATGTATACGTATGAATATTTTATATTGTACAACTGTTCAATATTTTCATATTGTAATGTCTAGTGTCATGATCAGAAAAACTTTTGGTATAATTCAAGATTAATGTAACTTTTGAAATCTATCCTAAACTCTATTGAAATGAAATTGAATTAAATAAAAATAATTTTTCCTTAACATTCCACCCATCGAAAAATCCATTCTTCGAGAACCTCTAAGAGGTCCATCCGGAAGTACCGAAAACTGTGATCGGTCGTTCAAAGGGAACGCGTCGGCTACTGGTTTTCTGGTAGCCTTTTGCAAAAAGTAGAAATGAAGAAGAGAGGGTGGAGGAAAAGGTAGCGGAGGTGAGTTTGGGAGGGAGAACAACGTCGTGTAGCTCTCTTCCAGGACATCGTACGTCAGTGGTTCGAGCCCGTGGGAACGAGAGGGTAGAGACACCTCTCAGGCTCGCGAGAGGGACGCGGCGCCGACCCCAAGTCGACCTGCAGGTAGACGAAGAAGACGAAGGAGAAAAGAAAGGGAAAAGGAACGAAGAAGGCTTCGTGCGAAGACGAAACGATACTTCTTTAGAGTAAAAGAGGTAGAGGAGAAGTAAAAGGAGGAAGAGGGATTTAGATTTGCCGGACGAAGAGAGAAAGGAGTTCGAGAGAGATTTAGGATAGTGAAGGGTGCGAGAAGGAGGAAGATTCGAGTTCTACGAGGGAGGAAGCCGCATAAGAGGAAGAGAGGCGGATAAAACGAGGACTCTTCTCTGAGGTGACACCGCCGAAATATGTCCCGTCGGCATTCCTAGACGTTTTTTCGGCCTTTGTCGAGCGCGCCGTCACTATGTCATCGAAGCCGCTTCTTGGATACGATTGGACCAACGATCATCTTTCGATTCTTCTTCGATCGTACCGATCTTTCCTTCTTCCTTTACGACTATATACTAATTTCCAATCAACTTTTCAATTAATTGTTCTGACTGACTATTGTACAACTGTACAATAATATGAATGAATTTACAAAAGGATTATTCTTTATTATTAACAAACTATAAAATCCACATTCTCTAGAAGTAAACGAACAGTGACCGTGGAAGAAGGAATACAAGTATAACGTCGATGACAAATGGTAGACATGGAGGTCGGCCAAGTAAAATTAATATTCATATTCACGGTTGGCCCATTCATTCCCTCGTTGCAATATCAATAATCTGACCCTAGTAGCTCGTGCGAAGGGTAGGGGAGTTTAGGTAGGGGATTCGTGGATCCCACGTGCTCGGTATTTAATTACCAGAAATCGAGGGGTGCGCACAAGTGTACGACTCGCTTTCACCTCCCAAATAATTTTATTCGTTCGTCCTGAGTATCGACAATTTCACGATTAACGATCGCATCATATCTATTGTAAATGTATTTAGAGAACTCCTCAAAGGATTCTTCGAGTATTAAAAATATTTATGTTCCTATTTGTGAAACTTTTAAGTCAAAATTTAGAGAATAATTCAATTCGATTATCATTTTCTAAACACATTTGACGTTTTGAATCTTAATGAAATATCATCGTTGTGTAATACGAGTCGATGGTCACGGTGATCGTTCTTCTTTCCCGGATGACTGCATATCACGTGGCCCTCACGTGGGCTTCCTGCTTGTACTTTTTCCGCGTCTAGCCAGCATATGCACGATTGCGTAACAAAACACACAAATCATACGCACAGCATAAGAAACTCAACAGACTGATTTATGCTCGCGGGGCAATGTTCTGTATCCATCTTGTAAGACACGAGCTAACCCATCGAACCACAGAACAGGATGAATCTTACTTTTTTTTTCTTTTCTTTCAAATATATTCTCATTTCCGGTCTGCATACTCACTGGAATCTAAATTGAAAAATAAGAATGAAGAAAATATTCTTTTAATGGAAATATTTAGTTACGATAAGTATAATTCAATACCGTTATATATTTGTAAAATAAATAAACAATTGTCTTGAACAGGAAGTGGCATCGTCAAAATGATGTTTTTTTCTTTATCAAATTAATTTTAATGACTTTAATGGGGTCATAAAGATCCCTGGGTTATCAAGAAGGGAATCCAAGATACGTTTTCTAAGTAAGTATTGCTCTAGGGTAAAACATCACTGAACAAAACTGAGTTTGGTAATTACAAGAGGTTGGAAAACGTTTTAGGTCGAGCAGTAAATCTTGAAAAGTCTCTCTTTTCCTTTTACCTCTCTTCCTCTTCTTCCTCGTATATCTCTTGTTCTTTCCTTATCCGAACATCGAAGCTAGCCCCTCCCAGACGGCTGAAGGATTTATTTTATTATTTGATAGATTTAATACTACGACTACTGTTTATTACCACGAATTATCCGAACTTATAAGGATGTTGAAAAACTATATTCCTTTTAACCAAAACTAGTATCTTGTCATGATAGTTGTCATTGTCTAAATAAGTAATGACGTGTACAATTATTGAATGAAACATGAAACCAACTTAAATCTAAAATAAATCGATTGCTTGAAGAAATACTTAGTGTGAAAAAAGTCGGTAGATCATAAGGATCCTAATGCCTGATTTTCTTTGAAGTCCAATTAACGGACATATGTTTCACACGTGATTACACGCAAGTCGATCGGTCAACCGCAGTCCCGAATCGGTTCCGCCTCTCTACTCTCTCTCTACTCTCTCTCTCTCTCTCTCTCTCTCTCTCTCTCTCTCTCTCTCTCTCTCTCTCTCTCTGTCTCTCTGAGGTGACGAAGTTAATTGCTCACTTTCTCATCTCGTTAATGTTACTTCCGCAGCACAAGCTGCTTGTGACAATTTAGGAAACAGAAAGAAACGAAAAGTCTAGCAAACGAGGCGTTCTACGGAAATCATTCAACGATCAGCGCAGATGGCCGAACCTATAAGTTCTGAAAATGTTTTTCTCTACCCTTATTCATGCTATTTTTATATCCAACGTTGTATCTAAATTATTTTCTTACCTAATAATTTGTGAATAAATAAAAATAAAGAGAATATTTGTACGTACCTGAAGTTTTAATAACACTGCCGGAGAATCGATTGTCTATCTTAACGATAAAAATTGTATTATCAATGTGAGATATTAGGAATAGCTTGATGATAAACATAAAAAAATTTCATGTTCTGGTAAAAATAAATATAGGAACGTTTAGAGTCATGTGATGTGTTTAGGAATTTCGCTTGACGAAGACAATTATTGTGGTATTGACGAATTGTTTATTTTATCATCTGCCGACGAAGACAGTTTGTCGTTAAAAGCAATGGCCATGCTGCGCGAAGCGATCGAGGATGTAGGTATAAAAAAGAAAAAAAATGGCGACACTTCGGGTATAATAACTATCTCTCTTTTTTCTTCGTTTTTTGTTTTTTCTTTTTTTTGTTGTTTTAATTCGCCAACTTGGAGATGTTTCGGAATCTTCTCGTAGCGCCCAGCTTGTTATGATACAATAGTAATAGCAATATATAATATATGGCAAGGTCATTGGTCAATAAATACTTTACTTAAATCGCTCGCATCTAAATTCGCCAAATAACACGCAGAATCGTACCAATTATTTTCCGATGATTTCTTTCTCTCTCTTTCTCTCTCTCTCTCTCTCTCTCTCTCTCTCTCTCTCTCTTTCCATTTTATCTATTATCACAATGACGATCTAAAATAAAAAACATACGTGTAGATCGTTTCTTTATTATTCGATAAAAGTAATCCTTCGTCCGCGATTATTTGGAAACTTTAGATTCGCAAAAACCAGGACAAACTCCCTCAAAAATTTGCGCTTACAAAACGCATCTAATCTATTATTTCAAAGGATCGGTTTCCATTTTCCAGCGATTTGGTCCAACGAATGAAAAGATCGGAAAAAGATTTCACGCCTGCAATTCCCAATTGACGGAATTTGTCCTCGACGATCTAATTACCTACACGCTATGTGAACTAGAGATTCCTTTCAGCATCGAACAGCAGTCACTATGAAGGTAATAGTGCGCGCAACCGTTTCTCTAATACTATTTTGAGTTTACACTAATCGTAGATCCTTAAAAGATTTAGGTAACACTATGTACACTCCAATTCTCCTTCTTTTATCTTTTTCATTCATGTTTCTCTCGACGTTCCTAACAAAGTTCCTCTCCTTTATCGTTTTTTTTTCCCTTCGTTCCGACTAACAATAAGCTCGTACGAAATTCTCGTCGAAAGAACAAACGACGAACTAAAATGGACTCCTCGCGTTCATGGAAAATCACGCGATTCATCAGTTCGGTTCGCGAAACTTCGGCGCTCGCTTCTAGAACCAGTAGAGATCTTTGGAATCCTGCACTTGCGACTCGAGACCTGAAACAAAGAAGAATGATTATTTAGTTGATATAGAGGATTAAGATCATAATTAGTAATGTAATGAAATTATTTAACGAAAGACGATATTCTTTTTTTGTTCCGAGGAACATAGTAATAATTAACCAGTATAGAAATATCTAGCAAGTACGTAGAAAGCGTCCTACATAGCATGGGTCGTCTGTTCGAATTATTTATCGGCGTGCCGCGTAATAAAAGAAGAGACAACGTTTTGACGGATGCGAGGGTGCAGAACTGGTGATGGCACCCGCTGAGCAACACGGACGGACAAACCGACGGACGGAGAGAAGGAAGAGAACCGAAGGAACAGACACAGACGGACGAGCTTCGAGCGATGTCACGAGATCGAGCAGTTAAGATCTCACGTTCCCTTACGACGGACGCCAAGCGTGCGCGCGCGACTGCATGCGTCCGAATTTATCTCCGTACGATCTGGATATCCCAAAGGGTGACCCCGCAGATATTCGTCCACTCGATGTCAACGTTTTTAAACGATCCTCTCTGACTCCAAATCGATAATGCTGCGTAATCGAACGAACGCATCTCGGCGAAGTATCATTGATGAGAAAGCCACTTCGATCGGGAAAATTGATCTTTATCTTCGATCATTGCTTTTCATTTCTATTTAGTTGCTCGCTATATTTTGACAAAATTTTGTTTAAGTCGACGAAGAAATAAATTATTCAAAATAATCTTTCGCCTGTAATTTATAATTTTTTTTTACATAACGTTAAAATCTATTTTTATTCGACTATCTACCAATTCTCTATAATTCGCACGTATCTATTAGAATTAATTTTACGATGTAATAATTCTTTAAAAAAAACAAAGATCATGATTTTTGATGGATCGTTCCTTTCATTAAATTGTCTAATGATAAATAACATCGCGTCGATATTCAAAAAACAAAGTACTGTGTTACACGGGCCAATAAATCGCAAGAGATTAGATTCATGTAAGGGTGGCACGTGTCAGCGCGTGGATCTACCTGCTTCAAAGTCAGTAACGTGTGCTCGTCGCGAGAGCAGATTCGTACAAGTGGAAGCACAAAAGATATTATCGTAGGTAAAACGTCATATAGGTATCGTTTCGCTCAACGGTGAAGCTAGAACGGCAAAGTATTATTTGATGGAAAGTCACTGAGTTGAAAAATGATCGTAGAAGGTAGCGTGAGAAGGGAAACAGGTTTTCATACTCGCCCGCTTTTGCGTGAAAACCTGATGCATGTAACACCGATCTCTCTTGTTTTTTTATTGACCGTTCTACGTAACAATGAATCTCATCGATGACATGTTATAAACGGAAAACGATTGAGTTCACAGTAGATAAAGAAAGTTATCTTTATAAAACAAGTTTTGTGTGTTCCTAAATATAATGAAGTTTCTTAATAATATAATTTGATATTTAATTTTAATGATTTAATATTTGTATAAATAAAAATTAATCAAAAATGTCACTATGGCGATTGACTTAACACACAAAATTTAACATGAACATTGATTTACTATTATTGTTCAAGAATATTCGAAAATCATTGGATCGAATTCAAACAAAAATATTATAGTGCACAGAATTAAACACAGCTATAACGACGAATATGATCACAAGTGAAATGGTAAATTGGGAGATCATGGTCGATCGCTAATAGCAGATGATCTTCCCTTTCTTTTCTCCCCCTTTCACGAATATCGAAGGGTCGGCTTCTGCGGGTGACTCGACAAATACCGGCAATATTGTCGACGTTATCCGACGCACCATTTACCAGCTAGTGCCTCGTCCATTTTGCCGAGGGCTTGCGAACGATTACGCGAATATGGTCGGAGCGTTCCTCTACGTGTGTGTGTGTGTCTGTGTGTGTACGTGTGCGTATGAGAAGAGCATAAATCGTCCTACACGTATGACACTTATGGCAACGTTATTTGGTGACCACGCTATCGAATTAGAACTCACTCTCACGAAGATTAGACTTGGACGAATCGGTGTTACCTAAAATTTCTAATTTCTAATATCCGCCTATAATTCATAACTTGACACTATTAATATCATTAGAAATACGTGGAAAATATTTTCTGCAAATGTTCGAAATTAAATGTCTACTAAAGTCTTTGAGATACTTAATTTTAAAATATTTGGAAGAATCGTTATAAATTTATTTTTACTTATCTCCGCGAAATGATTTTTCAAAGATACTATTGTGATCAATAATGGAATAAATAAACGTTTGAAATAAAGATATAAAGGATACCCAAGATAACATACTTGTCTTTGAAAGCTTCAACTGCCGACTACAAAGTAACGGACGAACGCACCTGTTATGAGCGTTTCAGTATTCAATATCGCGATATCAAAGAGCAACGGTGAAATGCTGTAGGAAGGAAGAGAGTTTAGAGAGCAAGAGGAAAAGAGGGAAGGAGTCCTTTCGTACAAAGTCTAAGGAAACTGGGAGACAAATGTTACACTCGAAGCACCAAGAATTTCAGCAGAGTTTGCCTCAACGGTATAATTATGTGGACGTCATTGTTTTACTTTGATCATTATATTCGTTTCTAAATAATATAATTATTAAACAGAAATTACATCACATATATATATATATATATATATGCATATAATTAAATAATAATGAAAAAAATGATATGATAAAATGTTACCAATAAGATGAATTTGTGCGAAATATATTTCACAAGATTAAACTCTGAATTATATCGTTCTCAGTTGAGACCACATATAATTTGATTGGTTACACGTGCTTTATAAATAAATAGTTTCTAGATGTGATAATTTAACGTCATAGGAAATTCATTTTCATTGTTTCTTATTCTTTTCAATTATCTATCCCTCCTCTTTTTAACTTCGAAAGAAGCGAATCTTCATATCGGTCGAATTTAAGAGAGGGTGTAACTTCACAAGTTTCAGGTTGAAGAACACGAATCGAGCGTCGAGATTAAATTAAAGCGAACACCCTCGCGTTCGAAAACCGAAGATTCACCCCCTGCCGATCGAACCAACCCTCTTTTAAGGGATGCATACGAAAAGCATTGTGATGACCCTTATCAATGGGGGTCAGAACCCTTCGGAGTTTGGAATCCAATATACTCGCGGTAAAGGAGACTCTCCCTACTTTAACATATCCACAACTCTCGACCCTACCTAAAACTCATATGCATCAATGTACGACTATTAGGTAGGCATTATAACTTCTAGATCATCGATGCACCACGAAACAGATATTACGTTTATTCTTTAACAATTACGAACTTTTTAATTTCTCAATTATTTTTTATTCTCAGTATGTTGTCTCAGATAAAAGAAATATTATCAATTATTAATCCTCATATCAATTCTTCTTTGTTAAATCGTTGGGAGAATTGGCGAAGAGATACGAATGAAAACGAAACACCATGTGTGCGTATTCGCGAATGCAATAGGAACCCGTAGGAGAACCGAAACATTCCAATGCTCTCGTGGAATGTTAGATGAACCCTTTCCATAACAGGATGCTGAGTGGGATCGTCTAAATATGGCTAACTCGCTGTAACATGCTCGTAATACACATCTAATAAATAAGTTCTCTCTCAAAGAAGTACCAAGTGCCACTCTATAAAATTATATAGCTATAAGAAACAAATTATTTTATACCATGTCATTAGAAACGTCACATTTGATGACGTGATCATTGAAATCCAATTATTTAATACGTGTTGTGATCGCTAACGAGATGAATGTTGGAAAGATGAACATTGGAAATTAAATATCAGAAGTTTAAAAATTTGATTAAATATTATTTATCATGTATTGCAGCTTTCGAAAGAGACTAGAAAAAGAGGAGGAAAAGAAGAAACAAAAGGCGTTCGCCGATCTGGCAAAGCTCTCGGTTCGCCGGCCTGTCTCGTATCGAAGGAGAGGAGAGCAGAGTTCGAGAGATCGATATAGCCAGTGAGTCGACCACTCCCTCCATTCGGTAGACTGACCAATCGAGACTCGCTGGCCATCCCCGTGCTGACTCCCGGCAGCCGAGTGCTGCGACGGTGTCTCTCTTTTACGTTCTCTCCTCTACCTCTTTTGCTGGCCACCACGGTTATATGTGAGCTGTGGATTACGTGACGTCAGTGTGCGACGCCATTTTCGAGGCGCGTGCCAGAAAGCCTTCGGAGTAACGCTGCGCCTGCCGACTGAATAGTTCCCGTAAAATCTCCCGCGCCTTCGACGACTAGTTGGGATCATCGACTCTGATCGAATTTGATTATCGATCGATCTGCTTTCGCAGAAAGATTCCTTTAAAGAACGGAATTTTAGAGAAATCAATAATTTATAGTCATTTCTTTGAGATGTTTACAAAAATAATATCCATTCTATATCTGCAATCACATTTCTTCATAGCAATAAAGATATTTATTTTGAAGAAATCGTATTTGAAGAAAAGAGAAAATGACGATTACTTTGAATGGAACTTTCATTTAAACAATTTGTACACGTTAAGATAAACATTTTATGGATAACTTAATATCCTTGAGTTAAAAGTATATCCAATAGAGGATTCAACTTCCTTTTAAATAAAATGTAAATTTAACTATTTTAAAAGCTGCACGTGCGACGTTCCATCCCGCAAGCGAGTAGAGATTCGAAAGAGGTAGGCAGGCAAGGAAAAAGCGTCGAAGGGTGGCTCGTTCGCCGACACCTTTTCGTTCGTCGGAGAAAAGAGAATCGGCACTTTTTCCGATCCTCCTGGAAGGACATCGAGTGGCGAGCTCGTCGCACGAAACTGTCGCAACGAAAAGCAATGCGACTTCGAGAAGAAGTTTTGCCCGCTTTTTCGCCCAGGCATTTCGTATATCGTACACGGTTAGTCCTATCTTGGAATCTCGAAGGGGCGGCGTCTCGAAGGACGAGAGGGAGAGAGAGAGAGAAAGAGAGGCGAAAAGGGAAAGGAGAAAGAAAAGGAGTAGGGGAAGGAGAAGGATAAAATTCAGCTTTGATTTAGAGACTCGTACCGACGCGGCGCCGTGACCGCTTCGTACCGCTTTCGTGCTTGGAAGCAATACCTTCCCAAAACTCGGTTCCGGTCTTTCGAACTACTTTGTCTGATATCGTGAAAATTTGTGATTTTAAACGATCTATAAGGTCGACTAAAAGATACATTGTACAGCAACATGGATTCTATTATTACCTGAATCGAGCTAAACTTTCAGACAAAATGATAATATTACGATAAACATTAACGTTAACAATTTTTCCATGTGCTAAAACGAGAATAAAATTCGTTGAAAAATTTTCCACCGCCGCGTCGTCACATCAAGTCGGTACAAACACGCGAAATGATAAATTATTCATCTACGTCCGATCGAATTTGTCCTCCAATGAAGAGAACGCGAATCGACAATCGTTGAGAAGTAGGGAGAAACCCAGGATGGGTGGTGAGGGTGGAGTGGGGATAGTGCGACGACCAAGATGAGAAGAGAGTCGGCGTTCTTTCTGACTCTTCACAAACGTCAGTCGGTAATTGCGATTTATTTCTCTTAATAGCGGTTAAACACCGGCCAATTTATTCCGTTCGAGTTAATTTTACACAATTATATAATTATCACGAGAGAAGAGAAGAGAAGAGAAGAGAAGGAGAGAGGGAGAGAGAGAGAGAGATATTAAAACGCACACAGATCGCGTATATACGCAACCTAATCGAGAAGACACCATTGCGAGATCTCGTAATGGTCGACACTTAAATTTAAAGACGGCAACTCCCTGTTAACCCTCCGTCGGTTTCCGTCTCCTGTCATTCGTCGACCAAGACTCGTTAACGAGCAAGACTATCGCGTCGATCGAGCGCCGATTAAAATCGCCTCGCTCCTCATATAAACGATCGATTAAACTCGATTGCTTCAGAAGTTTTTTTTGTCTTCGTTTTCTCAACGAACCAACTTTGTTATCCATCTATATACATACAGCGAGACATTAAAATATTTAAACACTTTTGAAAATTGAATAACTTGTTCTACTTTAGCCAAAGATAAAGGATACTTTGAATTTTTCTAAATCAATGCTGAGATTATTATTCATTAGATGATAAATTTGCTTTATAAAATGAAAGAAAAAAATATATATATATATAAAAACAATTAATTAAAGTGATTTTCGCGAAATATGAAAAATTCATGGATAAACGTAAACGATGGAAGCATCATTTACATAAATTATCTTAAATCGCATAAGTTTCTAATTAATTCGAACATTACTGGGAAACTCGCGACGAATCGAGATCGCGTAAGATCGCGGAATCGGTCAGCAATTTCGTTGCTCGCGCAACGATTCGTCCTACCAACAAGTCCATACTTATTTATTCATTAATTTCGAGAAGTGAAGTCGAGTTTGGGATTACTTGGAAGGAGGGAGCACAGAGAATGAGTTAGAGAGAGGTCTCTTACAGTAGCACACGCCAGCTCGAAATGTTCGAATAGTGAACGTTGTCGGCATTCCGCTAAGCAAATTCTTGAAAACTCGTTTGGTCGGTCCGGCCGCTTGAACCAACTCTCAATCTACACCGTAAAAGCAAGGCACGTGTGTAAAAGCTAACCGTCTCCTAAATTGGCCCTAAGTCTCAACTCGTTCTCTCTTTTTCTTTCTCTCAAAAGTAGAATACATACTTCAGGCAAAACAATTGAATTTCGACCAATCCATCATCGGCATATTATCTATACACTCAAGATCAATGAATTTTCTCACGTTACAAAATAACCTGCTATTCAATAATCATGTATCGGTATCGTTAATAATAGATAATGTTTAAGATGAAAAATCAAAAGTATCGATTAAATCCTCTTAAGAGAGGGTTGAAGAAATGGCTGCCATGAGTTAAATCAGTGACATCTGGAGGAATGATAGTAGGGAGCCGAGGTCTTCTATCGATTTTGAAGTCTCCACCTCACTAAACCTTATCATATCAAAATCTTTTAATTTTATTTTCTTTCTAAATCTATCCTTGCCTATTAACATGATCTTGCTAATCCGTATTATTTATGAAACCTTGTCGAACGTATCACAAATTCTATCGATCACAAAAATATTTAAAAAATATTTTTTAATCGAGTAAAGAAAATTTGCAAATTGTAAAACTTCACGTTAGAGGATGTAAAAGGATCTATTCGAAAATAGGAATAAATTCAAAAGAGGAAAACTAAAAGGACGAAACGGAAGGCGTGTATTTCGAATGCCAACGTGCAGACAGATGGGAGTGGTCTCCGCAATCACGATGGGCGTGGTGTTTTCACGGCATGTTACAGCTGCACCCCGCAATGTAACCACGAATCGTGCAGTACATTTACATACAAACATGCAAGCAAATTGTGCAAGCCTTCATCCACGCTACGGCTTATTTAACGCTTTGGAGTAAGACCAAAGTTCTTCCCTCCTTGTTTCTCTTACCTCCCTCTTATTATTCTAACGTTAATTTACTATTCACTTTATTTGAATAGCAATAAATGCATACATTGAAAATCATTTTTGGTACAGCACCACTTTCATACAGCTTTTGTTCACACGCTTTGATGGATCGAAAGAAAGCAAGAATCAAGTTCTGCGAAACTGGTTACCTGGACATTTTTATGTCATTTATGAAATGAAGAGATACACTGCCGAGCGAAGCGGTTTTTCTGGATTTCACGAGCTTCGTGAAACGATTGAAATTCTTTAACTTATTTATGTGCTTTTCTCTCTCTCTCTCTCTCTCTCTCTCTCTCTCTCTCACTCTCTCACTCTTTCTCTCTCTCTCGAAGCAATCATTTATAGTAAGTGACCATAAGGAGTTTCGAGTCAGTTCAGACGTGTTTTGGTATTCTTACACGTTGATATAAATGATTAGTAATAGTATTCCCTAACTTCTTAAAAAAAAAAAAAAAATTGAGAATATAAGAAATAAATTCATATTAAAACATATACCATTTGAAATAGAAAAAAAAAAAGAATGATGACTTTTCATCAATCAAAGTGTCCAAAATTTAAAAGTATCATTGTTTTTTATCGAACATTTGTAAAAGAACCTATCGGTTTCTTTGTTATCTGATCAAAAAGAGATCCATATAACTGAAGAGAGGATATAGTCGTCGAGAGAAAGTTAAATCCCGTACCGCAAGACAGCATCCCGTTGAAGAAAAGCAAGGGATCGGAAGATGTAATCGCAAAGACGACCAAGAGCGCCGCATGTATCCTCTCTCGGAGAGCGTCGAAGTGGTCGTAAGAGCTCGAGTTTCCTCGTCTTATATAATCTGTAGCAGAACGGATCGCCTTTTTGCTTGGACGTGTCCCGAGCACCTCGCTTCGAGCGAAGCAAAATGTTTTACGGTCCGGTCGGGTCTTTTTGCTATCCTCCTTGCGATTTCGGCGTGGGAGAAAGACAGAAAGGGAGAGAGGGAAAGAGAAGAAAAATCGAAAAGAAGAGAGAAAGGGAGAGAGACAGAGAGAGAGAGAGAGAGAGAGAGAGAGAGAGAGAGAGAGCATGCACTATATCGACCGACTTGGTCCCCCATTAAGCTCTTATTAATTGCGAGCATCTGAGGGACCGCTCGGCCTTTCTTGCTCTACCTGGACGCCATTCTACTCGAAGAAAGCCGACCAACAATCTCGGCTTCCTTTTGCAACTTTGATCGACCGCTTCAACGAGGATTTTCATATAAATAAGAAGTTGGGGCTACTCTACGACCTGGAATCCCTTTCTTCTTGCAAAAAGTCGAATCATTCAGGGAGTGTAGAAAGGGGAAGCAGAAGTGATGCACATTTTTTGCATAAGTAAAGCCACGATTCCTTATCATTCTAATTTCGGTCAGATTATTGTGAGGATTATAAAAAGAAATACTATTTGAATCGAACACTTTGTCTCGCGTCGTATACTCGCATCATTTTTCCTGTATTATCCGATTCGTTTATTGCGGGTTGTAAGGGTTCAATAATACTCACCGGAGAGGGAGGCATAAGGGCCATGAGGGTAGGGCGGCGCCGAGGATACGTCTACGAGTGACTGAGATGGCGTTGCCGACGTCCAGTCCTTATATGAGGCCGCGGCGTGCACGTGGTGTGCCGCGTGGTGAGCCGCGTGATGCGACGTGTGATGTCCTCTCGCACTACCCAAAAGCAACCCGCTGTAACTCGCTGCAGCGGCCATGTTATGCTGATGATACTCGTGCACCGCTCTGGAACCGGGAAGAGATTTCGATTAAGGCCAAGGTAAGGAAGATGGATAGAGGAAGAGAAGAGCTGAGTAGCGAGTGGTAAAGTCGAGAGGGGGAAGGAAGGAGAAGAAGGATGAAAACACAAGAGGAAGGTTAAAAAAAGAGAGAATGAAGGAGAAGGAAAGAATTCTCGATACCGTGGCCTCTTCTCAAGCACGGTGACAGACTGGTAATTTATACGACGGTCCGCGCAGCATCAGTGCTAAAGATCTTCCCCCTGGTACCTGCTGCTCCCGACGGTTTTCTGTATTTTTCACGTCCACTTCGTCCTTTGGCTCTTTTTTTCTTTTTCTACTCATTTAACTCGCCACGGATTATATACCGAGATCCTTCCTTTTATGATTCTTTATTTCTTTATCAAGATTAACTTTTGTTGCTACGAGATTTCTTTGCACTGGGTCCTTGAACTCGTAAATGCAGTTTTGCGGTAGGTTAAGAGAGGATGCTCGAGAAACGTGTCAAAATTATTATTTCTAATGAGTTGTAAAGCTCACCTATGTTGGTACGGAGCATAATGCGCGTGCCATGGATCCGTTGGATACTCGTAAACATCACTTGGATGCTGACTGTTCCAGAAGGATGGTGGGAAGTTCCTCATCGACATGGGAGAGATATTTTCTGTAATAAAAATCAACAAAAAGATTTCTGTCAATATTGTCAAAAGATTTATTGACTTGATAATCGCCATTATGTCCTATATTTTCAATTTTAATAATATTTCTATTGAAAGATTATTGTACTCATCATATCTATGTAATCTGAAGATTATAAAGAATAAAAGAAAGTGTTTATTAGAATATTTCTACGCTTTCCCACGAACGTTTACGCGATCCTTTGGAAGGTTTTAGGTTTTATAAACGAGTGGTAGTCGGACTCCCACAGAATCGAACCGTGCGACAGAAGGGTACCGCGCGGTTGTTTTACAAGCACCCACTTCGAAGCCAGAAGCTTGTCCCGTGTTTTCTCCTACGGTTCCACCATGGTTTGCTCACGAGATTCCTCTTTTTTACTCCTTTTTTTTTTCTCTTCTCTATCTTCTTTCCTCCTTCCAATCTCAGACGCGACCAATTCAAAAGTATGGTCGAAGGTTCAACCAACAAGATCGATCGCGAAAGACGATTTATTTTTCTGATTCCACACTCGTGCCATTCCAATTTAACTCACTTGGATCCATCGACATAAGTCATCATCTCTATTTACTATTTCCAATACCATAAAGTCTCCGATAAATACTTTGGCATCGTCGATCATCATCAGTGACATGAGCGAGTCAGCGGGATACTGTGTGACTGGCGCTAGTACTTCTGAGAATCGAGGAAGATTCGTAGTCCTCGAACTTGTTAAAAAGCGTCGAATCATCGTCGTTTAACAATGTGAACATCATGAACTTGATGACCGATCAAAAAGAAATCTTTTGAGCTGGCTAGTATATCGGTTTCGTCCTCATAACTCGACCAACACTTTCGCCGTATAAAGAAGCCATGAATCGCATTGTTTCCCACGCATGGAATGTCGTCGAAGGTTAGTCAGAAAGAGAAGATTAGAGAAAAGACATAAAATATCCTTTTCCAAGCCATGTCCAGTGCAACCGGTCACCGATTGGCTTAATCAACGATTTATTATAAAACAAAATAAGTCCCTACTGTAGTTAACACGAGTTAAATAGTTTGCTGAGAGTTCCACGAAGCGTCCAATATCGAATAAATCGAAGATAGATTGCTCTTATGTATCCCCACCATTCTCCATGAGATCCAGCACGGCCATCCCCTTTTCCTTCTCCTCCTTTAGATTCACGGCGATCGTCGGTACCAACGGAGAATGTCCTTTATTTATTAACGCAATTAAAGAAACAGAGTGTCGAGCGTCCGCGCTTGCCTTTCTTCTCTGCCGATGCCGCGAAGGGGACGGAGGGATTCCTTCTCTCTTTCTTTCTTTCTTTCTCAGGACCGATATGCGGATGGAACGGGCTGCTCTTCGGCCCCTGTCAGAGTCAGATGTGCCAATAAGCGTGGTAAAGCACGTAAAAGGATAAAAGGTTTTCGAATCGGCGTTCCTTTATCGGCACGGATTCCTCGTGTGAATCTCTTCTGTTCTGAGTTCAGATTGCATAAGCTACTACTAATTGAGATAGACCTTTCAATGTTTATACAAAATCATAATCGTCGCTAACTACAACGCATCTTAATATACATATTTATCAGTGAATAGTATTGATTATCTTGATATTATGTTAATACCAAGATTAAATGTTAATTTTTCATTTTTTTATGTTATATCGATGTTGCTTCCTTTTTTTTGCATATTTTTAAACTTAACTGATGAGAGCTAACTGATCCTTGTTAATATTCGCAAATTGGCTTGATCACCCTACTCAATTTGAATCTAATCAGAATGACAACTATAAAGAAGCCACGGGACCCTTTTTAACAGTTCATGTGCGAGAATTAACGAGAAGTGATCTGGTTCGAGATGAGATCTGGCGTGGGTCCATGAGATAGCTCATATAAAGACGTTCGGAGAGACGCGATTCGTCAAAACGTAACGGAGAACAGATTGATGTGCTGCTGCGACTGGACAGCTTGTTATTCCGATTCAGAGTCGGCATATATGTATATACTGAGAAGAGAAAGAGAATAAGGAATAGGAGTTGGAGGCAGAAGAGACGAACGGGACTTGACTCGGATGTATCCGCCTTGCGCCTTCTCGTCCGTCGCTTTGAAGGCACTTCGTGTCAAGTAATTGCGTTTCTGTAACGCTTCACGATGGGATACGGGGCGTTAATTTGACGCCACCAACTGGAACGACGCGCTCAATTTCTCGGACTCAGTGATATTGCCCTTTTGAATACGCTCAGTTCACTCGACCTTTTCCCTTCAAGCACGTAATTCGCCTTGCGTCTATCATTGTTCTATACTATCTCCTACAATCTAAGTTTTATCAGTCGTACTAGTCTCTAAGCGTTCACACACACATACATACAAATATATATATATATATATATATAAATGTAACAACAATTCTAGATTAATTACGTTCGTAAATGCGTTTTAGCCATTTGATCAATCAGAAAGATTGCTTTCTATAAAATTGCGTTTCATCAAGATTATCTTTTTTAAAAATACACATTTTTAATACAAAAATTCTGTTAACGTGGAACCTCACAAACGATGAGACAGTTTACTATATACGATCTCGAAATTCTCGATACTCGTTACAACATGTTCAATTCCGTGAGAGCACTAGATCGCACATTGCTTCGATATCGAAGAGATTCCTTAAATTTTAGATGAGACTCGCAGTTCCTCGGTGGGCGTACGATCAAAAGATTTTAACTGTTACTATATTTTAATCCATATCATCGTCTGACACAGTTGACTTACATCGTTACCGTTATCGTGGTCGTTTATCTAACTGAAAAAAGCAGCAATGAAAGTACCTCGAGAAGCGAGCGCCCAATCGAAAAAAAATTGTGAAGAAAAAGAGACAAAGATGGCTCGATTAAAAGCTCTTACACCGTGATAAGTTCATAACGAGCGAATTCTTTACTTGGAAAAGAAATACTAGGCGTCCTATCGAATCTATAGTAATTAATGAAAGTTTATAAAAGATTTACAGGAAAATCTGAAAATTTGATAGTTGTTGTCCCTTATAACGAATAAAAAATTATTCCCAAAATTGCTAATAAAGATCTGTAAAAACAAGATGCATATACATTAATCAGACATCTGGAAAAATCTAAATAATAAGTTCAGAGTATAGCATTTGGTACGAATCGAAACGTTTATCCACCTTCTCTTTTAGCAAAAGGTCGATCGATAAATCGTAGCTTCGAGGGTCAACGAGAAAAGGATGCTCGATCTCTATACGAAATCCCTTCGTCTCTTCTGTTTTCTCGATAAACACGAGAGAAGCTCTCCACTGTTCAGGCAGCGTTCAGACCTTTTACGTACGTTAGCCGGCATACCGCGGCTAAAACTGTCTCCGGCTTTCTCTCTCGCTCTCTCTCTCTCTCTCTCTCTCTCTTTCTCTCTATCTATCTATCCGCCTATCTCCTTCTCTTTCTCTCTCTCTCTCTCTCTCTTTTTCTCTCCTTACCCTCGAAGAGAGCACGGTTTGCGTCGTGCATCTTAAGGCCCGCCAGTGGAAGCTCTTAATTTACCTTTGCTACACTCTCGTGGTCGTGGAGAGAAGCTGAAAGAGAGAAAGAGAAAGAGAGAGAAAGAAAGAGTGATAAAGACAACGAGAGGAGAAGAAAGACAGCAAGGAGAAAGATAGAGAAAGAGAGAGAAAGAGAGAGTGGAGGTACAGAAGCGAAGGTGCGCAAGGCACATAACAATTAGGTCGTGTTGTCTTGAATTCTAAGCAGGCTAGTGAACTGATCCTGAGCACCGAGCGCGGGATAAATGCGGCCTTAAACGACACCGATATAGACGGACCGCTAACGTCGTTCGCGCTTGCCAAATCCTCCACCATCCTCTACCCCACCTCCAGCTTCTTCTTATTCTTCTTCCTCTTTTTCTTTTTTCTTCCTCCTCTTCCGCCTCAACGACAATCCCGCGATCCCCGGCGCGATGTTCCACGATCTTCTCCGACTTCGAACTCTCCCTACCCTGTGTCACCACAGAGTCAGGTTTTAAGTCTTCGAGTACCGACAACGACGGTACGATTGTTACGGGCCTTGTTAGCGTTGTCGCAAGCTAATGGCGTACTTTATTACCAGGGTTTCGCGCTTCCTTCCAAAAGACGATGCTGTCGTGAATGCAAGACGAGATTGAACGTTAGCAACCTCTTTTTCATGTATTCCAAAACGCTTTTCTTTGGTACTTCCGTTTATTCTGGACTAGCACTTGTTACTATTACTCTATATCATCCAGTTAATTTTCTTGTAAACATTAATATAAATCTATTGAAGCCATAATATGAGATAAATTTATATGTACGAAAAAATAATACGATATCCTAAAATTAATAATTCTTTTTATATCTATTTTATCACCTATCGATGCTCATGCATGTTAACAAATTTGAAACAAGATTTGGAAACATACCTTTGGGCTTGTCATGAGCCAGTGCCCTTTGGAAATGTTCCTCAACCTCGGATGCGGCATCCCCCCTGTAATGAGTGAAGACAACGCAGTTCGCGCTAACATATTGCGCCCTACTCTCACCATCATCCGAATCCTCCGCCGCTGTAGCAGCCCCTACTAAAAGTCAATTGAATTATAATTATACTCTAACTATACTAAAATCAATCCTATTTCAATGATCGCAATTATTATTTATAACATACCGTCTGTCGATCTGTCATCGTCGAGAGTTCGCGAAGGCTGCGATGTAGTAGTCGCGAGAGGTGGTCGAGGTTGAGGAGTTGGTCGAGGTGATGCTGGACTCGGTGCTGATCCCACCGAACCCGCGCTACTTGGTTGACCTTGCGGTACACTACCTCCACCACCACAAAGTTCCAAACCCGCTGCTTCCAGAGACCTTTGGTGTACGTTCAACTATAAAAATAAAGATGAGAGTCATTACTGGCGCGAGTATTATAAAAGATTGGCACATTGGTTAGATAATAGGCCATACTATGACTCGCTTTCTTATTCTGAACCTCTTATCGAATCAACGACAAAGTACTAAAGTTGACTACTTGAGACGAGTCCAATAACTATGTCGACATATTTGTTATTGGCTTGTTATTGCAACCCTGAACACATTATAATATATTGACGCAACGCGTCATACTTGAAGATTCAACGTTGATGTGCAGAATCAGACGTTAATTCCGAGTTCTCGGGATAGTTTTAATAGATTCGTTTAAGAGTCCTCCGATGCCAGAGGACAAGTCAAAGAGGGAGTGAAGTGAGATCCATTGAGCACATAGCGACGCCGGCCGTCGGCGTCCATTGCATCTCCCACCCTTCTTGCTTAGACTGCAAATAACGCGAGAGCTATGCTATGCGTACCGGCATCGTCACGGCCGCTGGCAATGAGACCAAATAGGACGTAATGCTCACTATTCATTAGATCCTAGCGATGCAAATGCCACGCCGGGTCAGGGTATTCTGCTTGAATTTTTTTGACGACAATCCTACACGTACGCAATTGAGAGAGAGAGAGAGAGAGAGAGAGAGAGAGAGAGAGAGTCGGCCAACTATTCGACCGAGAACGAATCGTCGAAAGGTCCTTTAGCCATTTCGTTTATTGTCGATTAACATAGCGAGAGACTCGCTCTTAGTGAGTCACTGCAAGTAAGCAGCATAAGAACACTATTGTGGCGAGGACTAATGGGGAAGTCAAGTCGAGGATTCACATGATATTCGTTATATCCTACGCGAGGGTTTCTCGTTCAAGGTGTTTCACCATTACATCGATCCTGGAGATCGTTCCGAACACGATCGTAATGACCCGAGGAACCGCAGTGCTAGTACGTGCCACTTGCATACCTGCACGACGCGCGCAACACGATGATAAAAGACGCGCATTTACGGGAGCGTTTCCAACGCACGCATCCCGGCCCGTATACATTCCCAGTAGCCATTGTTGTTTCGAAGAGCTACCGCCTATAAATCTGAGAAGTCTTCGCGACGGGACGATGGGCTTCTATGATTTATCAATTGTGTCTGATCAACTTAAAACGGTGTACCGATCAGTGAAATACATATAATACATCTCATATATTTTATATCGTTTAAGTTCGTATCGTATATTCAATGTTGGCAAATCGTCAATTGTACCAGAATATTTAACAACCTTTCATATAAAAGTGTATCACGTCATATTTCTAAATAAAAGTCTCTTAATGAGACTAAAAGAATGCGTTATTTTCTTTATTTATCCACCCCATTTATCCGACCCTTTTATAAGACGAACAGCGAGCTTCATCGCTTCTTCCAGCGTTATCTTCTTCATCTATGCTAACACGGTTGGACTTTAATAAAACACCCGATCCAAGAAGCCCGTCCATTATCACGTTACGATCTTAGTCTTCTCTAAAAAAAAGTCCCATTCGTTTTATCAACAAATCGCCTATCGAGCCAAGCTATTTCCGAATCGGCATCATCCAACTTATAGAATGGACGTTTCTAAATGGCGATAGACATTGGAGGAGAACAAGAAGGTTCCTCCTGAGCAGTCGTCGCGACGCCTTGGTTCCCTTCGTTCGTCGCTGGTTGACAGGGAGCCTTTCGGCGTATATATCGAGCCAACCACGTACCCCGCCTAACCAATTACGTCCATACATCAGTGGCGGGTAGAGGCGCACGGAAATAAGCTGACGGTGATGTATGCTCGCGCTGCACACACGAGGATGAGCGGGGGTGCAGGAGTGTGCTGCTCGAAAGCTCAACGGAGACGAAGACGAAGACGAAGACGACGACGACGACGACGACGACGACGACGACGACGACGACGACGACGGCGAGATGTTATCATTATCTACTCTAATAAAGCCGGACTCTGCATTCCATGTGGTAGTACATCACCGCCACGATTTTCAAAGTGCCGAGATAGAAAGAGAAAGAAAAAAAGAGAGAGAGAGAGAGAGAAAGAGAGAGGGAGAGACAGAGAGAGAGATAGAGAGAGAGAGAGAGACAGAGAGAAAGAGATAGAGAGAAAGTTTCGTAAAGAGAACGTCGAGTGACGAGCGCTTTCCTGGCGATTTCACGGAAAGTACACTCGATCACTCGTGTCCTCCAACTCAATGACATCCTCCTCGTCGTTTCCTCATCTTCTCTTTATCCACCATTCTCGGAATCTTTCGTAGAAACTGGTCTGATCGAAGGTGTAATAGAAAAAGAGAGCTAGACTTGCTTGCAAATTTACTATTGAAAAATTATTACCAATGGAGAAAAATTAATGTTTCAAATGTCTTCGATGATAACGCTACAATAGCAAATTATCTATACGAGATGACGGAGTATACTCATGTGCAGATACAATATCGTTTGAAAATCCCGATTCAATTACATTGGATTGCATGGGGCTAAAGAAGACTCATCATTTACGAGGATAAAAGTATAAAAGAGATAAAATCGAGGATCAGCGAGCCCTCCATAGATTACCACCGGTGGAACATCTAGTGTTGCTTGGACGACAATGTGGTAATTAATCGAAGCAAGCCTGCTTCCAACAACCTCCCGTTTCCCTATCTCTCTTTTTCTCTCTTTCCATCTTTCTTTCTCTCTTACTTCTTCAAGGCGCACTGGCTTCCTTCGAAACGGTCCACGTCCTCCACTGCTAAGAAGGAGAAGGAGGTGGTGGCTGTAGCTGTGAGCGAGAGAGAATGAGAAAGAGAGAAAGAGAGAGAAAGAGAGAGAAAGAGAGAGAGAGAGAGAGAGAGAGAGAGAGACGGAGAAAGCTGCTCGCGGCCTTTCAAAGCATTCCAAAGCACGAGCGCCTCTTCCACTCGACCTTAGCCCACCCCACTTCCAACCCCACTCGATCCCACCACCACCGCCACCACCACCGCCGTCTCCGCGCCTCTGTCGAGTCACTTCGCGAGAGGCAAAGCCCGCGTCTTTATTTCTTTCCCTTTTGTCTTATAGATCTTTGAATCTCTGTATCGGGGTCCCACTCTTCCCGTTCCAGCCCATTAAAATACTTGATGCCTCAGCGAGGATTTGAATTTACGATTGTCTCACCGATTCGATTGCGAAAATCGAATTTGCACTTCTACCAATTACCGTGCAACGAGCGATAAAATGAAAAATAAAGAAAAAGAATTCTTAAGTCTGTAGATATACAATTTGAGTATAGTGTAAAAAAGCAATGCCATCTGAAGGAATTAAATTTGGACGATTACATTCGTCACAGGCAATCGGTGTTGATGGTGTAAAAGCGGACAGCTCACATCGATTCGAAAGGAGATCGGCGGCTTCGCGAGATCTTTCCTTCGATTCCCACATCAATTTAAGTCAAACCTGTAAGAGGGAGATCTTCGTCAATCCACTCTCTATCTCACTGTCTCCTTCTTTCGTGTCCACCTTCGTGGAACAGTAGCCCGAAGGGGAGGAAAAAGATTCGAAAGACCGAAGAAAGAAAGAACGAACAGAGAAAAGAAGAAGAAGAAGAGAAGGAGAAAAAGAGGGAGAAGAGATTTAACTGTGGAGAGGGTATAGAAACGTAGGGAGACGGTAACAAGCTACCATACAGCCACGGGGTATCTCGCAATTTGTTTGCCGGACACGACCATTCGTCGACACGATTCTCCTATCTTCCACGAAGATGAGAGAAGTCCGCGTCCTCTCGCTCTCGCACTCTCAAAGCCTTGGATTACGACTATCGATAAGGTACCGCTGAACGAGTTCCCTTTAGTTAAGTTTAGTTCATTAGCAAACCCGCCAGGTGGACGATGGAACGATTCCCCCATCCGTTCGACAAATTACAACGAGATCGTCTCCACCCCTTTCAATTCCCACTCCTCCTCTCTTCACCAAAGTGCACCTTCGTCTCTTGGAACTTTAAGATCCTTCAAGGATCTTCTCAGAATCTCTATTTGACGTATTCTTATTATTAAAATTTCATATTACGTTATCTGTAGATCTTATATTTATATTTTATTTCACGAACTGTTAATTAAATGTTAATTAATGCATTAAATGAGAAAAAGTTGAAACACCTTTTAAAGATCAGCATGTTGCGATCAAATAGAAAAACTTCATGTTCTTTTATCATTGTGCTCGTTGATAAAAATTATAAGAGACATCAAAAATAATTCAGTGAGGAATTTCAAGCTCGTGTAGATTATAGCAGACGGTTAGATGCTATCGATAGACTCCCAGGTATTTTCTCCTAAAAGTGGAAGCGATTAATGAACCTTCTCGCGCCGGTATTAACTACTCCTTTACAAACGTATGGATATAGGCTTTATTTTATAGGAACGTTTAAGCTCTAGCGCGCGTCAACAGATGACTAAACGGTGCACCGCCCGCCGATAACGATACGCATCGGTAAAAAGAGAAGGGAGAGAAAAAAGATGGAACAGGTTGGTTTCGTGTAAACTCACGCGGCGAGTAGAAAAGAACAGAGGAAAAGAGAGGGAGAGGCTTTTGAGTAATATCGCCGACTCTTTATATAAATGTATAAACATATCCAAGAGCACGTTTGACTTAGTTTATCTCCTTGTTATGGAACCATAGGATATGTCTAAGTGATCAACAAGTCAATGCATTATTTAATCTTTCTTGTTAACGCAAATATTCATTTCTTTCAAAAACTTTTCTACATCCTATGTATCCTTTTTCCTTTTGAACAACTTTAACGTTTATCCACACAAAATTCGATTTTAATGAGCTAATCAACGAACGCAAGATTACAGGATCTTAATGGATTCATCGTTATTGAAGTTTATAATAATTATTACTTTAGAAATGCCGAAAATTAGCTACCGGAAAGATTTTACCAGTTAAATGTTAAGTGGTGTAGTGTGTTAATGAGCTAACTTCGTGGGAATTGTAGTCTGTAGATTCGCCAGAGAATCTCCTCTTACCTTATTCGATATTGTCTCTTCGAAGTCGGTCATCCCTGGAAAGGGACTAGTAAGTTGATTCTTCGAAGTTTCTCTCAGAGGACACTAAGATAAAGAGAAAGAGAAGAGGTGAGGCTAAAGGCTGACTAAAAAGCCGGCACGGGACCGTCGAGATAGCGGGTCGAGAAAGCGTCTTTAGTGTCCGTTATCAGACCTGATCCGATACGGTCACCAATAACTTGAGCTACCTACCGCAGAGCCCGTAGTAAAGGTTATCCTTGTCGGAGCTACCGGTCGAGACCATTACGAACTTATTACTATGTACCTTCCCTCCGACGCTTATTGAAAGTTCGCGCTCGGCAATAGTTGTCCAATAAAAACTCTCGCTTTACGTTCATCGTTGTAATGCCGGTACCGCGAGACCGAGCACAGACCGACATGCATAACTTAATGCACTTTATCGGAAGCCTGTTTCTTTCCCTCTCTCCTTCTTGTCCTCTCTTGGACCACCTGTCGTTTCGATGACTTTCTGTCGGATTTCTTCTAATAGGGTTGTTCAATAATATGATGCCGTGGAATATTAGTTGAGAGCCATTTCTATATGCTTCGTAAAAATTATGAAAATAAATTTGTTTTTATTATATTTCAAATGGTAGAAGGAAAATATAAAAAAATCCTTTGAAAAGATTAGTTTTATTACCTGACTGACCGGAGGAAAATTCTGAAACGAACAATTTTCTTAAAGAACCTTGATCCAGTTAAGGCTCTCTAGTTGATATTGAAAAAAAAAAAAAAGAAGTAATACCAACTGGAATCATTTTCATTCGTTTCAAACCTTTAATTGATCTTTTAAGGTAGAAATCATCTGATTTTTACACTTCGAAAGTCCATTCTCGTATTTTGCTTAATTGTGCACTAATTGGCCTGCTAATTATAATCTCCCGAAAATCTTGTCTTCGAGCGTAATGTCTTGTTATTTAACATCGAATATCCTTCGATAGTTTGGACATTTTTCGTTAAGCAAATCGCGAAAGTAGATAATAATTAAAACATAGAGCAATCACGCGAAACGCTTCGTTTCCTTATGAGCAGTGCGCGATATATGCATTCCTACTTGACATTTCATTGCATCAAATAGCACTCGAACCACTCTAAGAATTCCATGAATGTCTACCATCGGTCTGAACAGGTCGACACGCGTGATTTTCTGCGAAGATCGCGGCGGTCCATCGTTATCGCAATTTTTTACGCTCGACCTCTTGACTCCGATCGACGGCTTTATCGTCTTTGTCTGATAATAGCTCTGATATTCAGCCGATTAGTGATTTCATCGCGAATCATTCTTTTAACGCTTTATCATTTCGTACTTTCTAATGGAATTTAGCCGCAAAACTTTTTTAATAGAAGGTTTCACGATTGCGAATTTAAAGTCTTTCCTTTTTTTTTTTTTTTTTTTTTTGCAAGATTCGCAATACTAAAAGATTCAGGTCGATCATGGGATTAAAAATCAAAATGAAATGCAATGTGCGACACCGTAGCACGGAAATTTTTTCCTCGACTGAATGAAAAACTTATGATTCATTACGAAGAAACCGAGGTTAGATCTAAAACCGCAATCCTCTCTTTTCCCTCTCTTTCTTTCTTTCTCTTTCTTGGACGGAGGTCGCGATTCAATAAATATTGATCGGTCGACCGATCGCGAGGCTACTGTCAAGCGACATCAACTTGACTTTTCTCGCATAACTCGAAGACCTTTCCACAGCGCACGAGTGTGCTAGACTCGATAAGTTTTTTTTTTCGTGGCTAACAGTATCGCGTTGCCCTCGTTGCAAGAGCTATCGAGGACATGTCCGTTCCTTTTGAATGCAGCGAGGTCTCCTTATTACGGGAAGTACTGAAAAGATCGTTTTCCAACTTGAACAGAGATGAACGAGAGGTCGAGAAGAGTTCAGACAAAGCAAGAACAAATGACCGAGATTATGAAATGTTTGACGCATATCTGCAATAGGACTAATTGTTGATTGAATCCTTTGTATGATTAATCATCGTCCAATCAATTAAATAACATTTTTAGGACAAAAATAAAATGGTTATTTCAATAGCTATTTGATCAACAATTTAACAAAGTACAATAAACTTTTCAGAAATATATTCGGAAAAATAGATAGATAAACTCCATGAAATGGCGCCGGTTGATCGAATGGAATGCGATTGAGAGAAAACAAAGACCGTACGAAGAGTAGCAGCAACGACAACAGCAGCAGTAGCCCTTTTAGCGCGTGTCGCAAAGAATGGCGCTCCTAGACTAAAAACGGAACAGCGCCAAGGAATGCAACGTTGCAGCACACCTTGCTTGCTCTCGAACACAAGAGAATCGTTCGAGCGCGCGCGCGCGCGCGAGCACGCGATCGAGAGAAGACGACATAGTCGGCCGTGCGTGAGATATGGCATCGTCGTACCGATAATTGTCGTACATCCCAACAATGCCGTGACAATTCCACTGTTGTCGTGCGACTTTGCGTCTTCAAAGAATGACGTGTCATTTTTCTTCCTTGTTCGTGGTACGACCCTGATAAAATTAAACCTGTTCGATGTATCTTCAAAAAATGAATTATCCTTTCTAAGTTCATTTGAAAATTATGAGATTTTTAATTTAAAACTTGGTATCAATAATCCATATAACTTCAACAAATTTGGAGAGAGTGAGATGGGCAAAAAAGATCGATCGTTTTAAAAAAATTTTAAAAGCATTACGAGGAATGTGAATGAAGATAGTATACTGTCTCGTCTACGTCGTGATTATTTACTCATTGTCAAGTCTATGCCGATCGTTGTTTCATTCGAAGGATGGTCCTCGAGGAATACGAAATAGCAAAGATCGTTTTGCACGGAAGACGCTTTGCTACTTCAGCGATTAATGGCGTCCTCTTGGCGACCGTAAATAACAATAAACCAGTTCAGTGGAAGCTGTGTATCTTTGCTAAGCTTCGTCGCGTGGCTTCCGCGATTCTGAGAAGCATTCGAGGCTGTTTCACCTCGTCAACGCGTGTGACGAGCGGCGATTAATTTTCGCGGACACAAATCACAAGTGTCGATACGATCTCGAGCTGAAGAATCGAATCGAGAGCTCTTGAAGAGAAGAAGGAGGAGATGCTCGAGGATAGATTCCCATTGGCGTCGTATGTCTTCCGAAAATTTACACTTATATTTTTCCCAAAGTATAAAATAGTAACGAAAAAAAAGAACTATTATATGAAAGATACAATCGTCTCATTTATTAATCATCCTTCAATGAATTTTGATCATCCAAAGTCATTTGATACAATAGTTAATAAATTACACATTTCTCCAATTTTAATTTTATCGAAATATCAGAAGATCACTCAGCTAAATCCAACAAATAATTTTTCAATTTTGTGAAGTGCTGCGCTCATGGAGATGGAAATAGGTCTGTAAAAAAAAAGAAAGGAGAATAAAAAAGAGAAATAGAGAGAAAGAGAGAGAGAGAGAGAGAGAGAGAGAGAGAGAGAAAGAGAGAGGCGCCTCTTTGACGAGCGTAGAGTGGCGTAGAGCGGAGAGAAGTTACGCGTCTCGATGGAAACTGGCTCTCTCGAAGGAAAACCTTATTCAATTCAATTCTAATGTGTCGGTGGTACCGGAGGCGAATAGCATTGCATTCGAGATCGCGGCTACCTTTCCATCCGTCCGTCGATCCACTAGGAGGAGAGCTGGTACGGCGGTAAACCATTCGCCGTTGGTTTCACAATCGTCCAAATGATGAGAGTATTCTCACCACGTTTCCGCGACAACGGGTATTACGGATCTTCAAAGGAACAGTCCGACATCGGTGAGCCGAGTCTGCCATCGTTAATATAAATTACACCCACCATGCCTGTTGTCTCTGATACTCTTATACGCACACATAGTTCCTATGCGTTTGCGAGCACGTTTATAGGTAGGATCTAAACGTTTTGCTCGTCAAAGGAAGAAGGAAGACAGGAGGATAGTGAAACATCGAAGACTTTGAGACGCCTTGCCATATTAGTGAGGAGAGATACCAAGGAATGTCTATAATTTTACGAGCGTCTTTAATATGCGTTTAGCTTCCGCCGCCATCGCCTTGCCAAGAACTTTGTCGTTGTCGGTAGCTTCAAGATGCAAGCTTCTATTCTTTGATAAAAAAAACATATCCAGCTTGGTATGCCTCTTTCTACGACATTTTCTACTTAACCTTTGAACCTACACATTCGACCGAGTCAGGTGCATTCCACCTGCCGATGTGATCGTTTGCAAAAAGCTCCTACCGTTGAATTGCCCGATCCATCATTTTCCCTCATATTACAAACGAATCTGCAATGAATGACTGAAAGAATTGTTGGATATATGCTAACCTAATTCAACGCAATGAGTTAAGCGTTATGGATTTTAAAGTTATGGCATATTTTATTACAGGCTAATCTAAACATGAAGGAATTACACGACATAATATAAAAATATGACTGTATGTTTGTACAGTACATATGTATGTTCACACAGTATGTTTGTACAGTATATATATACGTATGTTTGTACAATATGTGTATATCTGTTTCTACATTATACGTATATTTCTTTACTCATGTATACTGCTTTTAATCATTTTTCTATCTTTATCATTAATTACAACGGATCGAAAGTTGGTAAAATAATCAAGATTCGTAATTACCAGAGAAAGGAAATTAATGCGATTACAACCAGTCGGCCATACTTTGTCGATTATGCACTTAAATGGGAACTCGGGAAGTCGCATAGGCTAGTAAAAAGCGCGGCCCTTCACCTGTCACTTAAAACGAGTCGAGTCGCTTTCGCGTTCCATACTCGTTCTGCACCTTGAGTAATAATAAATATTCCTTCCTTCCGAGTGCGGACAGCGGATCGTGAAATCAGAAAATTCACCTGGACAAGAGTCGACGATGGAGCTGATCCTTGGCACCTGCGGACTTCGACTTCTTTCAAAATCGTTTGTATTATTCTTAACGATATTCTTATACAAACAATAATATATTAAAGAAGTTATTACAACTAATAAAAGTTAAATGGAAAAAATCTTTAAAAATGAATAAGCT